TGAGACACCCACCCACCAGCATCGGGATTCTCATAAGCTAGATCTTGCAAGCCCAACCTAAAGGCATTCAATTCAATTAAAACAAACAGAAAAATGACTTGATTCAAATAAACAGAGGAGGCTTAACTGAACTCTTTCTGTAGATTTGCAAATGTTTTGAAGCTTGAAACTCTCTTACTCTAGGACCTTTCATTGCAATGCCGCCTTCTCAAATATCTAACTCTTGACCACTCTTAAATATCTCACTGAAACATCACTTCTTCAGGGAAAGCTCTTCTGTGACTGGGTTGGGACACGCCATGGTACATCCCAGAGTGCCTGGCACTTCTCCTTCCTTACATGTGAAAGTATTTACACGCTCTTGTGCCGCGCCCACCCCCCCACAGGCCACGCATCCACAGGAGCAGAACTGTTTCTGCTGTGTCCACAGCATGCTCTCTAATCCCTAAACTAGTTCCTGGCATCTAACGATGAGGAAATAATTTATTACTTGGACTCTTTTGTTATATTTTATGATAAATATAACATTAATACAGCTATGAGGCTGATGGTTGGTATTTGACTCCAGTAGGGACACCACCTCCCAGAATACAGATCTGCCCTCTCCCTCTGAAACCACCTGAGAGCTCTTCTCCCTACACCCTGCCTCACTGATCATTGCTTTTTTGGGGTGAAATTTGGGTAAAGTTTATGAGTAATAACAATGATAGTAATAATACCATTTCATGTTTACTGAGCAACTTACTAATGCTCATTGCTTCATGTCCATTCTTGGGCTTAATTCATACTATAATTCTGGTATTTTTTTCCCATTTTGCCAAAGAAAGAAGCTATAACAAAAAAATAAAGCAACCAGTTTAAAATCACCCAGCTGTAAATGGCAGACCTGGAATTTGAACCTCTGTCTACATACAAATCACAAGCTTTCAGTATGTACTGAGCACTCCTCCAGGTAAGATTCTATTTCTGGGAACCATTTTGGAATCCACTTACCTCTGGGGGCTGGTTTGCCGAGCACCACAGGCAATGAACAGAGGGTTCTCAGGCAGGTTGCAATCACTGGGGAAACACTCAAATGAATCAGGCATTTTTTTTTTACCTTCTAGTCAAGCACGAATTTTACTGAGACTTGGTGGAGCACTTCAAAAACCACCTGCAGAAGCCCTAGAGGTGTGGAGGTGCTCATTACTTAGCCAGACAGGACTGGTAAAGGGCTGAGTCCTACCCGAAGTGGGTGGATAAGCTGAGTGAGGGAGCCTTATGGTAACAAGGGTGGCCCCGCACTGCTGGTCACCCAGACGCACAGCCATCCCCTTCCCTCCCCACTACACCTGCTGAGCTACTCCATGCTCACAAGAACCATCTCAGAGTTAGAGACTGGGAAAGAAATAAGTTCCCACTGTATCACCTTCTGCCCAGTTATGCTCATTTCTGCTCAGATATGTCTTGATTTCTCAATCTCATTCCTTTAAAAATAAAAAGATGTAAACTCAATAATTAAATAGGTTACTAAGTATCCCTTTTTGTAAGAAAAGTCCACTGAGACAACGTAAGAGGTGACCCTCCCCCTAACCGTTAACGGAAGCACTAAGGGAGTGGGTATTTATAAATCTCTTCTAGAATGAAGACTGTCTTTAAGCAGAGGAAGATTCGCATGGAGCTCAGGAGGATGCTGGGTAATGTGACAGATATGTGAAGCCTGAGCGAGAAGGACTAGTTATGGGAAAAGAAATCTAGAACAGGAGATGGGAAGAAGCTGCAGACACACCTTTCCTATAAAAATCTTCCTCAGGGCCAGCTTTAGGCTGAGGAAAAGTTTTTTTCTAGAATGTTGGTTTTTCTACCACCAGGATGCAGATGGCAGCCTTGCAACATAAGAGCTGTAGTTATAAGTGCTTTTTGAGTTAAGTAGAGTTCTGGCTGAAAATATAACTACAGGTATTTCACTGTATGAGTTTCAAGTAACAAATTTGCTTTGGAAGATAACCTGTAAAATGAAAATATATACATTTTTTTTTTCTTTCTGTCATGAATTTGTGTCTTTCTTTGGAGCCTCCTCCAAATTTCCTATAAAATTCCTAAACTGAGGAATCTTTCTGTGTATATGTGTGTAAAATGCAATCAATTCATGGAATTTTCTGCCTTGATAAATTAGGACAAAGATCAAGAGTCAAGGAATCTATTCCTTCTCAATTATTTTGTCCTAATTAAAGAATAAGGTCCAGCCGCATTTCCTTAGCTATTTGGAAAACCTAATCAAAACAAACACCATGAATGTGTTCCAGTTTGGGGATCATTATACATGGACTTTATAAAACATATAAACACAGGTCATTCATTTTCACATGGCCACGTATTATAAATCCTTCCAATATAAACTCAACTCCCTTCTAATAATAATTATAATACCAGTAGCCAACATTTATTAAGTGCTTACTACATGCCAAACCATTTACCTGAGTGATCTCATCTACTCCTCACAACAGCTCTATAATAAAAGATGAAGTCTTACTGTCCCCATTTATAGATGAGAAAATGTAGCTTAGGAAGGCTCAACCACTTGCTTGAGATGACTCAGCAGTGAGGGCAGGTCTCTCTAATTCTAAAGCCCATCCTTTATATGCATCCGCTCATATGCACACAAAAACCCATAGCCAAAAGAAAGAGAGCCTGGAGATTCTGTTTTATTTTTTGAAATTATGTAAGAGTTTGAGCCAAACCTATGACATATGCCTGGGAGCAAGATCTTAAATGCTCTGAGCCTGGAGATTTTAGCTGAGGTTGATTTCACTATTAAAAAGAACATTTGTATTGAATGGTTTATCTCTGCCAAATTGTAACTCGCTGAGTATTTACCAGGCTAATGTCCAAGGCTGGAGAGGAGGATCACTGGGCCCCAGTTGCTGGAGCCTGTGGAGAGAGGACATGCCAGCCCACAGCATGGGTTCTCTCAAAAGAAACAGATGGAGCACAGACCGCAAATTGTACAATATCTACTTCTCTAGCCTAAAACTTGAGAGACATCGGCGAATCTAACTAGATGGGAACTAGACAGTTGTGGTTCCTTCTTGATTAGGATAAGATGAGCACTTCGTGTGCCTTTTTCTTTTCATTTGATTGGTTGAAAACCCTGAGAGCTCTCTTGGGGATGGGGACAGCAAGGTAGGGAGCAATCGGGAGAAGTAGAGTAATAATTTACCTGGTCCCATTCTCTAACATGAAGCCTGTTAGACGGTAAATATTAGTGGACCAAAATGCCATATCATCCAGTCCTCCAAGGAAATATTCTTGGAATTGTTCCACCAGAAATGGGGACTTTCTAGAATAAGTGGGATAAAGCTATGGCAGAGAGAAAGAAAAATAAGTTAATAAATAAATAAATCAAGTGCTTCTCCTAGTATCTTTATAACACTTTATGTTAAGATTTTGAAGGATAAAGCCAAGCCTCACCTTGGAAACAGCCAACATCTCACCATACCTGCAACATAAAAAACAATTTTGACTATGACTTGTGGTTTCTGCAAAGAAGGAAGTAACTAATGAAGAAAAGGTTCTATCACAATGTATCCACCATCATGCAACTTTCTTTGAATCAACAAAATCCATAAATCCAAAACCACTTTGGAAACACAACCATTGAAATGTGTGCTAAGAAAGTCGCAATACAACCAGTGGCAAATCTTACTCTGGGGCCACACTTACATTTCTAAGAACTGAAGGTAAGAACAGTCAACAATTGCATTTTTGGTGATGACTGATCGGCCATAGAGTTTCTTATAAATTCCCAGTAGGTCTTCGACAGGCACATACCTGAGAAAAGCATTAGAATAAGAGTTGTGTGATTCTAAAGTTGAAGACAACAACGGCAGCAACAACAGCTGCCAGTCATCCCATGAGGACTGTGTGCCAGGCTCACAGAGAGGACGCCCATGCATTACATGTGTGTAATCCTACCAACAGCCTGCGTGGCTGGGACTACCATACTCCCACTTTACACAGAAAGAAAGAAGGCAGCACAGAAAAGTTAAAGAATTTGCTCAACACTGCACAGCAAACAACTGGTGCCTTAATCAAATATTTATGAAGGTACATTCAGAGATAAGAAAGTATAAAGTATAAAGGAGGTGTTTAATTTTGTGAATTTAGAGTTCGAAGAGCAATATATTTTTATTCTTTCGAGTTGAATTATTCTCAAGAATTATTATTTTTAAAAAACAAAAAATGGCTCCTCACTTCCAACATTCTACTTTGAGTCCACAGTGTGAGGTGGTAAAAGAATTATAAGTCAAGATTTTGGGTTCACAGATTTTAGTTATTTCATTTGGAAGAGCAGCAACTTAACAATTAGATCTATACTGAGTCCGCTTTTATCTTCATTTCAAAGACCTTAAACTATACCAGACAGAAATTAAAACCAATAAGACCTGATTTTACTTATAAGAATCTATTGAAGTCCATTTCTTTTTTCAAATTTTTACATGAGCACAGAGATAGTTCTTCCAATAAAAACAGCTTAAAAAATATTTTAGGTGAATCACCAAGTTAGTAAAAAGCTAAAAACTTCCAAAGGCTCAAAATAAATTGAAACTGGAAACTTTAAGAAGTGAGTAAGTGGGAAAGCCAGTTTTTGCTCTGAGGTTCTGCCAAACCCTGGAGACATGGAGGTTTTTTGATGGCTACATGGTATGCAAGGGACACGAAAGAAAACATAGGAACCACTCAGAGTGGGCCATCTCAGAGGACTCTGAGACTCATGCAGACTACACCCCTGCATGAGTGTTAGCAGGAAATAAACCCAACATGCTAACAAGGACAGCAAAGAAAACCGCCTGACTTCATCTTGGCAATAGATAGAAGAAGGGAAAAAATCTCCTCCTAGGAATAGTAACCACTACCCAGCCCCACAAATGTTTTGTCCTGGATCCGTCCTATCTGTACATTCAGAAAAACTTAAAAGGTTGAATGTTAACTTGATGTGCTCACAGGTTAGGAGTGGCTCAAGCAGCCTGCAGAGGCCAAGAGAAACCCTCTCTAGAAAAATGCAATTCTAACTCCAGCCTCGAGTACTCCAAGCCCCATGGAATATAACCAAAAGAGGACCAGAAGCCCCATGACACACCATTAAAATGAACATCTAATCCAATGCAGATGGCACTGTGTGTGGAGTTAGAGGGACCCCTCATGCTTCTGCTTTCACCACCTCTTCCTGGGGTTATCCGAGACCGGCTGTCCTCAGGTAATCTGCTAGTGATTTGCTAGTTCTGGAGCTTCCATAGTACTAAGGCAGCTGGACCAGGGATAGGAGTTGGCTCCTTGCCAAACCCGCAAGCTCTCTTTTCTCTTTGGTTTGTAGGCACTCCTCCCAATCCCAGCCATCCACACTCAGGGGCTGGAACAGGGGGACAGACTATGTCACACCTTCTGACTGCTTAGTAAACACTCAAAGAAAAAACAAAACCCAGTATAACCACAATTAAGCTACAGTAATATCTGATAAAGTAGAAGGCAACAAGCATTATTAGAAATAAAGAAGGTCACTACACATCACAATAAAGGGTTCAATTCACCAGTAAGATACAAGATTTTGAAACTTGAATATTCCTAACAACTTATCCTCAAATACCCATATAACAAACTTTGACAGAACTACAAGGAGAAATTGAAAAAATCCACATCATAGGGAGATTTTTTAAACAAATTTCTCTCAGTAATTATTAGATTAACCTTATAAAAAGTAAATAGCAAGACTACTTATAGCTTACAATCTGATTTAAACAATAAATTTAATAAGCTTGAGCTAATAAGCAATATATATAATATTAAACAAAAATTGGAGAATTAACATTCTTTTCAAGAACATATGGACTATTTCCAAAAATTGACCATATACTAGACCTTAAATCAAGAATCAATGCATTTCATAGAAACCAAAAAAAGTAGAAGGAAGAATATAAATATATGAATAAAAATTAATAAAGGGGAAAAATGAACATGAAATAGAATCAATAAAGCCAAAAGTTTATTCTTTAAATAATAAAACTGAAAAATGTTAGACAAGATTAATTGTTTAAAAACAGAGGAGAAGGCAGGATAAAACAATATTATGGACAACAAAGGACCACAGTACAAATAAAACAAGAAAAAAAATAAGATATTATGAACCTTATTCCAAAATCTTTAAACACTTAGATGAAATGGAAAAGCCCTAGAAAAATATAAAACTCCTTAAAACAAAATTGAAAAACTGTATAGTCCTATAACCATTAAAGAAGTTTTTTTTTTTAAGTCTCTACAAAGACAACATCAGGCCTAGATAGCTTGACAGACAAATTCTACCAAACATTCAAAAAATCAAAGTTCAAATCTCACACAGACTTCCAGAGAATAGAAAAGGAAGGCACACTCCAGACTTCATGATTCCATGAAGCCAGCATAACCTTGACATCAAAATCAAACAAAGCAGAAGAAAGGCAAATCATAATATAAGCTCACTTGTAAACAGAGGTGCAAAAACTTTAAGCAGCAAATATAAATGTAACAAATACAAAAAAAATATGATATATCATTGCAAAATTGGTTTTGTCCCAGGAAGTAAAGTTGATTTTATATTAGCAAATAGATTACTATAATTTGCTATAACATTAAGAAACAATTATCTCAACAGATGCAGAATAAGAGTTTAATACATATGAAATTGATTTCTAATAAAAACCACTAGCAAACTAGAAATAGAATGAAACTCCCTTAACTTGATAAAAGATGTTATAAAAATCTACAGCAAATATCACACTTAATGATGAAAATTTGAAAGCATTCTCTTTAAGATCAGGAATAAAAAAGTATATCCAATATCGCCACTTCTATTGTACTGGAAATAATAGCCAGTGAGATACAGCAAGAAAAAGAAACTACAGGTATAAAGATTGAAAAGGAAAAGCAAAATTGTCACAATTTGTAGATTATAAATTGTGAGTCTACGGAAAATTCAAAAGAATCTCCAGATAAGTTACTAGAATTAATAAGATAGCTTAGAAATGTTGCTAGATACAAAATCAAAATTAGAAAGTCATTTGCATTTCTGTACACCAGCAATCTTTTAAAAAATATAACTGGACCAAAAGTTACTATTTATGGTAGCGAAGAAAAATATAAACTAAATCTAATAAAACGTGTAAGACCTTGATGAAAAAATTATAAAACTTTAAATTCATTGAAGAAGACAAATAAAATACATAACATGTTAATGGATAAGTGGACTCAACATTGCAAAGTTGTTAATTCTTTCCAATTTAACTCTAGATTCAATAAAACCTAATCAAAATTCCAAAAATATTTTTCTTGGAACATACCACTTCATTTGAAAGAGCTAAGGCAAAGGACTCGGCAATGTACATTTAAAGAAAAAGGACAGGTTGAGAGACCAGCCGTAATAGATGTCAAGACATAGTATAAAGCCACCATAATTTTAAAAAACAGGTATTTCTCAGTGATCGTCAATTCGACCAATACGACATAACTGAAGGCCCAGAAACTGACCCACACACATATGGGATTTTAATTTATGTCACAGAGGTCATTACAGATCAGTGAGGAAAGGGTAGAAATGATTCTGAGACACTTAATCTCTATAGGAAAAAATGAAATTAGATTCTATCTGAGCATATACAAAAAAATTAATTCCAGGTAAATTAAAGATATAAAGTTAAAAATAAAACTGTAAAAGCTTTAGAAGGCTAGGTAAGAAAATAACCTCATGCTTTCAAGTTAGGGAAGGATTTTGTCAAAAGTACAAGTACAAAGGAAAACACTTATATATTTGACTACATTAAAATTAACAAATTCTGTCATGATACACTACAAAATAAGTAAAAACATGCCACAAACTATAAAAAGGTATTTATAACAAATAAATAATAAACTAACAAAAGATGAGAAGCTCTAATAGACAAAGAATACTCACAAATTAAAAGGACAAACAACCCAACAGAAAAATAGGCTAAAAACGGAAGATCTTCACTTTAAAATCAAACACAAATGATCAATAAATCATGAAAGAATGTTCAACCTCATCAGTAGTCTGGGAAATGCAAATCAAAACTTTAATGAGATACCATCACATGCCAAACAGGTTAGAAAAACTTAAAAGTTGGACAATACCAAGCGTGGGAGAATGCAGAAGCAGCAGAACTATTATACAAAGCAAATCAGAGTATAAACTGGAAACAACATTTTGAAAAAGAGTCTAGGATCACTTAGGTAAGCGAAGCATGTATATGTCCAACGACCTAACTATTCCACTTCTGGTGTTTGAGAGAGTCCCCTCTAGTGTACAAACATATGTACAAAACTGTTCATAGCAACACTATATGTAAAGCAAAAATGCTTCATATGACTTACATATCCATCCACATTAGAATAAAGTCATACTGGTACATCCGCACAGTAGGAGCGCATAGTGATGAAAATGAATGAACCATAGTTCTGATAACTCTGTATATCAATATAATTAAATCTCAGAAACATAATTTTAAGCAAAAATTTGCAGAACGCACACTGTGCAATTCTATCAAAAGTGAAAAACTACGCAATATTTTACATATGGATACATGCTATATAGCAAAACTAGAGGGAAAAGTGACAAAATGATTCACAGGAACCCTAGAGTAGTGGCTACCCTGCGGGAGAGAAGGTGATAAGACAGACAGAAGGCAAGGGGCTCCTAAGATAAAATGAGGCTCTGCTTCTTAAACTGGGTGGCAGCTGCTCAAGTGTGCATCATCTCACTATTTTATGTATTTATAGATATACATTCTTTACTATATTTGGTATAATTCAGATTTTTTTCAAGAATCTACTTTGATTATTCTATTTCCAGTTTTACTCTTCAAAATTTACAAATGCAGAAGACTCCTATTGACATTGTAGGTTATATTTTCTAAGGTAAAAAGGGTCAAGCTCCTAAATGCCATTTAAATATCACATATTTAAATATACATTGTTCTTACCAGTGCCGTGAGAGGTAGTTAAAATTAAACTCAAACTGGCTCAACACATCTCCTCCTGTGGCGAGAGAGAAATATTTACATGTAATGGATTAGTGACCACAGAGAGCAGGCTTCTTTCTATACAAATTTGCACAACCCGGTTTATCAGTTCTTCGCATTGTTACAAGTTTCTTTTCATTGTTTTAGGTATAGGCACGTCTTTAAGAAAAAGTGACCTTTTAAAATCTTAGCGACTGAAGTACAAATTAAAAAAGAATCACTCATATAATCAAAGTGTTTTTCACTTTAAGGAAAGATGGACCATAAGGGTTCTTTTAAATAACTACCACTCACCATCTAGTTTGTATATTCAAAGGTAATTTACTATAGGAAAAAAAATGGAGTTTACAATTTAAAGCTAATGTACTAGTAGACACTAGGTAATAAATTTTAATCTGACATGAAAGTAAAGCTTTTCTAAAATTTCCATGTAAGTAAATGATAAAATGTGATTTAACAAAAAAAATACACATATACACAACTTTTCAGAAGTACATCTCTATGTTAAATGAGGTATGCCTGTACTCTAAATGAACCACAATATTCAAATAGAAAGCAGTTAGCGTATGCTACTGACAAGATCGTAAAAAAACATATTTAAGGTACAGTAGTGACTTCATTACACATAAAATGTAATTACCACAAAAGAAAATTTGGCAAATATAAAGAAACAGTACCAAAATCACCAGCTGCATGCGCCTCAGAAAAGGAGCCGTGAAAATCAATCTGAGAAAGAAAGAGAACCATCTGGTATAGATCACAAGTTGTAGCCCCGACTCCTATCCCACAAGCGAGTGAATAGTGGGGAGGTGACAGCCTAACCCAAGGAACTGCTGAGGATGCATAGTGGATGGACTCAATTTTCAAAAAACCGTTTAATTTTATCATTTTATCTGTTAAAAGAAAGTGTATTGGCAGCTGAGTTGTATACTTAATGCCTGGTGGTAGGCAAAGCTACCATGGGCATTGCACCTAATAGAATATCCACAAAATCTCTACTGAGTACAAGTTTAAGCTTCTCACGGAATGGTATTAACATCAGTGAATGACCAGAGGGAACTTCCAGAAGCTAAGTCACCAGGTAAGAGCACAGTGTTCAGCTTGAGGCCATGGCATTTTCATACGGAAAATTAAAAAGGAAAAAAAAAACATATGGAACTATTACTTTAAATAGAACCAAGTAGTAGGAATTCATATTCTTATTAAGATCCACGGCTTGAATAAAACATAAAATTTCTAAAATATCGCCGTGACTAAAATAGGACATCACTCCTTCTGCTGTTTTCAGTGTGCCCTAGTTGTTCTGCCCACGCGGACGAACTTACCCAGGTACTAGGAAGAGTAAGAGAAATGAATAGGACGAGATGGAAATCTAACGAACACGCTCTGGGCAATAGATCTCATTTCCACATGACATCTGAATAACCTAAAGTTTTCCTTTCCATTAAAAAGGTCCAGTTCTGTCCTTGGGTATGACAGTTTCACTCTCATAATGCCGTTACCCGTAAAGACAGGTACTCACATCTCCCATTGTCCTGAGGAAGCCTTGTTCGATGCCCAGGCTGTGCCAGCTGACGTCCGCCACCATGTGAGATGCAATTCCAAACAAGAAAGCTACCAATTTCTCTGTGTCCTGCCAAATAAACAAGTTAGAGTGGTGTGTCTGGGTGATTTTTACAACACTCCTATAGAAAGTTTTAATAAATATGAATTTATTTCCATTATTGAGACTTAACAATAAATCAGGGGCAGGCACACTGTAGTGTCTGGTTACCAAAAACCACAAAAGACTTTTTGACATGTTTTGGAGTACCTTGGAAGAGTAATTACTATTGGAGCAAAATGACCAAGTGACAGACCTAAATCTTTAAAATAATTTATTCAAGTATTAACCAGCCATCTCCTGTGTCCCATGTACTATATTTGGCAATATAGGTACAGTGGTGATCGACCCTCGTAGAATCTGGGTGTGTGTGTGCAAATGGAGTCAATGCAGGTGCAGAAAAAGAATGAGAGGGCCATGCCTACCTTCTCCCAGGGGAGGGGGTAGTTCTCTCGGATATAATGAATGCTTGCGTTGAGAAATGGAGTCCAGTGAGTGCTTTCAGACACATCATGAAATTGTCCTGACAAAACAAAGGCAGAACTCAGGATTCTTTCTTAAAAAATAGGAGATTTCCAATCAAATCTTCCACCACCACCTGCTGAGTCCCTTCTCCTTCCCTCCAAGCCTCTTATTTTTTCTATGAATGCAAAGGAAGCCTCTAGAACAGAAGAGCCACCAAAAGAGAAAGTAACCTAAGCTGGCTCACGGCATCTCGTATCACCCGGGCTGCAACAGAGGCTGGAAGTTGGGTGTTTTTGTTGACAGGAGGTAGTTAATGTTTCTTTTTAATAATGATTATTACACAAGTAATAAAGGAACTGAAATCATCCATAATTGCATCACCCTGTGGTAACTACAATGAACATTTTGGTGTATTTACTTCTAATTGTCTTAAATAAGTGTCTAAACATGTATATACATATTTTTAACAAAATTAGGTTCATAACAGCATACAGCTTAAAAATTTTTTAAATTTATTTTTCAATTACAATTGATATAAAATATTATATTAGTTTCAGGTATATAACATAGTGATTAGTCACGTTACAAAGTGATCACCCCAATAGATGAATGGATAAAGAAGATGTGGTACATATATACAATGAAATATAACTCGGGCATAAAAAAGAATAAAATCTTACCATTCGTGACAACATGGATGGACTTAGAGGGTACTATGCTAAGTGAAATAAGTCAGAGAAAGAAAAAATACTGTATGATCTCAATTATATGTGAAATCGAAAAACAAAATAAACAAAATCCCCAGAAACTCATAGGTACAGAGAACAAATTGATGGTTGCCAGAGAAAGTTTGCGGTGCTGGGTAAAAAAGATGAAGGAGATTGGGAAGTAGAAATTGCCAGTTATTAAAACGATCATGGAGATGTAAGTATAGCATAGGGAACATAGTAATATTGTAATAACTGTATATGGAGTCTGATGTTTTCAAATCTGTGCCCTAAAAATAAAGACATAAACTGTGTTGTTTTTTTTTTAATCTTTTCCATCACATTGAGCCTCTCTAAAAATACAGAAGACAAAAGCAGATACACCAAAGACTTTTACGCATTTGAATTTATCATAATTGTTTTAAAATAGCACAGGCTCCAAGTAGCCTCTGAAGTGAGCTAATGAGGGTCCCAGGGTCCTCTTTATTCCCACAGGAGGGGTAGAAGAGACAGAACTGGCATCTAATTCTAAACCTCTAAATGCACAAATTCTTCACGGAGCGTCATGGGTCATGGGGGCAACCGAAAGCAACCCTTCAGAATTCAAATCCCTCAGTTCCATTTTTTCACACTGTCACTAAAGTTAACCTAACCCATTTTAAATCATTGGTTTCTCTGCAAATGATTTTCAAAGAAGTTGTAACTAAGAAATTTGTTCTCCTAGAGATAAAACTTACAATTCCTATTCCACAGAATACAGTACAAATCCAGAATTACATACATAAGAGTCCTTCTGACATACCTCCACTTAACCAAATACTAGGTTAACCAAAGTTCTTTGTTCTCTCTGTAAATCGTACTGACTGGAAGCAAAAGAAACCCCCCACCTGCACCCCAAGCGTGCTGGCCGCTATCCACAGGCACCTCTGTCCTGACAGCTGTGCTGTACTTATGGAGGGCAAGCCAGGTCTGCTAACTCTGCTTAAGCCAGTTGTCCTCATTATTATAATTATACAATTTAATTCAACATTAGATAAGCTGATGAAATATGAGTAAAAGAAACAAAAAGTTGTTTCTTTGGCAACAAAATATCTAAGTGCTTTTGAAAGATGCAATAAAAGTGAATCGCCAAAGATGGTATCTACTGTTGAAGTAGATATGAGACAAAGGTAAGATTTGAAAAAAATCACAAAAATCTAAGAAGACTCTGCATTCAAATTCCTTATAACATTATTTATTTTGTAATTCTTTCCAGCTGACTTTTTGGTTCATCAGTCACACACTGGTCCCAATCTTTAGAGCAGATAAGAAGATCCCTACTGCTTTATTAAAAGAAGGAAAATGCTGGAGTTTGTGTTCCTCTTCCACTCTTCTCAGAACCCTTATTATGGTGTGGTCTCTCTGTATCTAAAAATGGCATATGTTAAGCAATGTTTCTCAAATTTAATTGACAAAATAATCTTTTTTTCCTACAGCCTCCTGAATACATTTTGGGAAGTGCTAATTTAGAAATAATGGTTAGAAAGAGGGAGGACTGCAACAAGCAAGGAAAATAATAGAACCGAGAAATGATAGTTCACAGACTAAGATCGAAACAGAAAAACAACTTACAAATATGAAAATTACAAAAGCTTAGCTATCTTGGATCACCTGTAGGAACGAATGTCCCTAAACATTGCATTGATTCTTAAGGCATCACTGTATTTAACGATATGGGATAATGGCTCATGACTCCGAGATTCCAAAGATGGTTTACATGATGACCCACTGTGCTGGATGTCTTTCATTCTTTCTGCATATTCACTCTCTATCTTTCTCCACCCGGTGTTGTGCCTCTGAGGTGACCTGCTTACATTGGCTTCTTTGCCCTCTTGCTTTGGGTTTGGCCAATGGGGAGAACTGACAGGATATAAGAGAAAAGGAGGAAAAGAGGTTGGCATACTCATTCTCCCAAGCTTCTATTCTGTGGGGTCACAGTGGGCTGTGTCCCTTGATTGAAAATCCTGGCCCCCATAAAGAGACCTTCTCCAACAGCTCATTCTCTTTCTGCAGTTTTAGTCACTGCTCCCTCCCCTGCACCATCTCTTGCCATTTTCTTCCATCTTGTCCACACTTGTGTAACTGGCCCCCTTGTAAAACTCCCCTCCGATGACTCAGTTTGAGTGTGCATGCTGGGACCCTGACTGATACAACCTGTAACACTACCTTAGATTTGTATAACACTTGACAAAATAGTATGCATTCATGCCAACAAAAATCCAGTGAAGCAGCGAGCAGGCACTATTATGACTATGTTACAGACGTGGAAACAGACTCAGCATGGAAGTGACTTTTTCAAGGTCACATGCTAACATACAACATAGAAGGAACAAAAACTCAGGACTTTTGGTCTCTTTCAAAATGTTTTCTGCCTCAAAGCAGTTCAAGTGAAGGTTAAAGTTTTCAGAATTTCTATGCTTAAGCAGGTAAGTTTTGGGTAATAGAAAATGCAACTCTGAACTAAGTCATGGACCAACAATAGTGGAAAACAAAATGTGCTGTTATTCTTTGAGTCACAGAGATTCCTATTGACCAAGTAAAAATGACATCGTTTGGTTTGCAAAACTTCATCTTACCTCTTTCACAGATGCTGGGGTAGAACGCATCAGGAAACACGGTTCCAGCCTGATACGCATCCTGGTGTTCAGCTAACAACTGAGAAGCAGGAAAATGCAGAGATTAAGGGGGGAAGTCAACAGCTTGGGAAGAGCAGGTCCAGTCAACTTCCTTCAGTGAGATGCAGGAGTAATTTGGTTTGGGGGTGGGGAGATGGAAGGAAGGAGGAAGGAAGGCATAAATAATAAAATTCATGCATAATCCAACACAACACCTTACAATATGTAACTTCAGATTCTTTCCTACCAAACATGGGCCAATTAAGAAGTAACGAATATCACTTATTTGAATTTCACCTCCTCTCATTTTCTCTGTCCTCCCAGTCGAGCAGGATTTCCCTAAGGCTATTTCATGACCCAGAACTAGTGGGTATAAGATTTTCAATGATCCATTGCAAACCACTGAAATGATAAAAATACAGACATGTATACATACATAATGTATATATATACACATATATGTGTGTGAATATATATATACATATATCAGTTTATAGTTGCCACCTATGCTTTAGAGTAAGATTATGTCCTTTGTGCTTTAGGTGGTTTTGAAAAATCTGCTTTCCTTTTTTAAATGATATAAAAGTAGATGGTAGAGGTTTCTTTTCAGTGTGCTTCCTTGGCTGATTGGTTCACTCTACTTCATTCCAACCCTCTATGAGGTGCCCAGGCATGTGTGAGAGTCTAGAGAACAAAGACCACATTCCCGGCCTCCACTGCAGAGCTCATGTCTTCCTTTCTTGCTTCTTCAGCTGCATGCAGGGCTTGGTTTTCATGCAGCAGAGATGGAGAGGGCCCAGGTGTGTTCGCAGGCAGAGTGTCCAGGGCATCCATTTTGCTAGTAAGGAACAAGGTTGAGGTGATGAGGTCCCAAAGCCAACAGTCTAGGTGACTTCTTACTTTCCAGATCATGTAGGAGACAGTTGGACCTGGAATTAGCAGGTGGGGCAGTGGCTGTTTGACTGGGCACAGGTAGCCTGCCAGGCCAGTTCTGTGTGTGGTTGTGGGTGTCCTTTCTGGACCTGCAGCCTGGATCCAGCTCCTCCAGTTCTGTTTGTCAGCACTAAATTCTCTACCACTCGGTTTTGAGCTCCTCTCTCAGCATAAGCTATCCAGAAGGTTTTCCACCATCTGCAAGTGGACTCTGATTGACACAATGGGCAAAGTCAAAGCTTGGCAACCCAACTTTTTAATATTGCAATAAGGACATACAGCAGGGACCATAAGTGGAGGCTACATAAAAGTTCCACAAAGGACTCAAAACATAGGGAAATATAGTATCATCTGCTTTTTGTTGTTGCTTTTCCAACCAGTATGTATCCTATTCCCAGTCTTCTAGGCACAGAATCCCTCTCTCCTGAGGAGAACCCGTTCCATGCTGAGCAGGTGGGGTTGACCACATGAGTATGAGGCCAGCAAGTCCACTCTCACCACAGTGCTTGGCTCAGAGATGCACGTTGAACAGAAGTTTGTTTGGTTAGAACTTTCCCCAAGACCTCTCAGCTGGAGCCCTGGGGAAGATGCCCTCTTCTCTCTGGGGAGCTTAGGTTGGAGGCTGAGTCCTGCATGGGCAGTGTCTTCTACATGGAGAGAGATGGCACCACCTGGACTTCCAGCTCCAGCTCTGCCCCAGGGCTGTCAGTTACATATACTCAGAAAGTCTCCTTTTTTCTAAAGATAATTTGAGCTGGACTTGTCACTTAATAATAATTAATTTCACTGAATAGTTACATCATCAGCCACTGTTGTAGTCATTTTATATGTATCAAGACTTGTTGAATCTTAATCTCCTAGTGAGGTAAGTACAGTTATTTAACATGAAAACAGAATTCTGAAGTAAATTTTGAAAAGTAAATGTGTTACTAAACAGTCAGGAAAGTTCTGGGGGGAAAAATGTACAGAGGAAAGATGTATCCTTCAGGCATAAAAATGAATTTTTAAGCTACAGAAATAAAAACAGTACGATATCAGAACCAAAAGAGACAAATCAATAATACAGAAGAATGAATCAGACTCAAGCATACACAATCACTTAATGTATGATACAAAGGAATAAAGGATGGAGTAATTAATAAATGGTGTGAGCACAACTCTACTGCAGTGAATAGTCCACTTTTGCATGGGAATTCTAGGAGACACTGACTTGAAATTAACTTTACCAATGACAGGCCACTAGATCCCTATCATGCTTTATGCCAAAATCAGTACAAGATGAGTTAGAGATTTAAATGTCAAAAATGGAGCCATAAAATTAACAAGACAAAGTTTAAGTGTATAATTGTATAATTTCAGAGTAGGAATGATTTTTCTAAGCAAAAATACAGGCAGAAATCATCAAAGAAAAGACAAGAATCATCAATAGATGCTAAGTTTAATGAGAAACAGGATATTTACATTACCTCAATATATCTCTCCACAAAATATTTACTTGCTAATTAATTAAAAAGTAGAAAATACTTAAACTTTCCAGCACAAAAATGTGACAAATACCATCTCAACCAAGAGATAAAAATGAACATTACTAGGACTTCTGTTTCCAGATGCACTTTTCCTTCCTCTTATTGCTTAGTACAGTAAAAAACAACAACAACAAAGAAACCTAGGTATAGTATATAACGTGAAGGTAAGACCCTCTGAAAGGTGAAGGTAAGTATGCAAATTAGCCAGGAAACGTGGGATGGAAGAATAACACTGTGGTGAGTTCTCCGGGTGTTCTTTTTGCTCATACATCCCAAACTGGATACTGGAAGAGCCACAAGGCTATCTAGAAACCCCAATGGGTGTAGATCCCCCCAACAAAAAATAGCCATAGGACCAGGAGAGGGGAAGGCTGCAAGACAGAAAACTTTTAGACAATAATCTCTCTACTCTAGCTGAACATCACAGAAAAACCATGGCCCTGCACTTACCCACGTCACCTAAGGCTGAGTGGGGAGCCTGGATCTTCTCCTCACCAGGCTGTAATGAGGTGCCCAGCTCCCCCATTGAAGTGGAGTCAGCCTTCATCCCTGCCATTCTGCCCCCATCTCTCCCTCTCAGTGTCAGTGGAGACCATGAGGAGAACAAAGACATCCAATCCCAACTGGCGGTAGTAAGGCGCCTCTCCCCTCCTCTCTGGGGTGGTGTCAGAAGAGGCCTAGGGGAGATCAGGACATTCCTACCACCCAGTAGTAAGAGGATATCTTGCCCTCTGACATCAGTAGAGGCCGAGGTGAGGAGCAGGTATTTGGCACTCTTGCCCCTCTCAACCAGGAAGGCATCAGTGCAGGCCTGGTGAGAAACCTTTACTTCTACCCAGTCAGCAGTTAGGAAGCAATGTCCCTTTACCACTTCCCCTAATGAAGTGTTATCAGAAGATGCCGACTAAATCAGGTTTAAATATGACCCAGAGTCTCTTAATCTAATACCCAGAATGTTAAGGTATCGATCAAAGACCACTCATCACACCAAGAACCAGGAAGATCTCAAAAGGAATAAAAACAATCAACAGATGCTGACACTGAGAAGCAGAAATGTTAGAATTATCTCACAGATATTTTAAAACAGCCATCATAAACATGCTTTAGCTGACAATAATGAACACACTTGAAACAAACTAAAAAATAATAATAAAATTGAAGTCTCAGCAAAGAAATAGAATATATGAAGAAGAACTGAATGGAAATTTTATTTTTAAATTTTTTTTTTTTTAGGCGAAGCAACCCTTGGTTGAGCTCACAGATTGCAAGGACCTTGTCAGCTTACAATCCTTTATTTTTTATTTTTTACACCTACAGCACCTGGTCTTCTTAGGTGGTCTCCCATCGAAGTACTAACCAGGCCCAACCCTGCTTAGCTTCCGAGATCAGACGGGATCGGGCTTATTCAGGGTGGCATGGCCGTAGACTCTGAGTGGAAATTTTAGAACTGAAAAATACAATAGCTAAAATAAAAGTTAACATCACCAGAAATGGTACAGGTTGACATTGTGTACTTTCCAATACAATGCAATGAGAAGAAAACATAGCATTGCTTCGATGTTTTACAAACATTTATCTGCAGAGGAATACCTTCAGGGGAATCTAATCGTCATGAACCATCAGACAAAATCAAATTAAGGTACATTCTACAGAGTTACTGGACTGTACTTTTCCAAAATATCAAGGTCATTAACGACAAGGCAGGCCTGAGGAACTGTTTCAGGTTGGAGTAGATTTGAGGGTACTGACAACTAAATACAACAGATCTTGAATTGGTCCTGGAACCATAGAGGATATTATTGAGACAACTGGTAAAATTTGAATGAGGATTGGGTCATAGTGTTATTTCAATGTTGATTTCCTGAATGTGATTATTATACTGTGGTTACACAGGAATGCTCTTGTTTTCAGGAATTACACAATGATGTGTTCAAGGATAATGAATACCATGTTAGGTACTAACTCTCAAATGGCTCAGGGAAAAAAATTCAACATGTATAGAGAGAAAAGGCAAATATGATAAGTTGTCAACAATAGGAGAAACTGGGTAAAGGATATATAAATAATATTTGTCTAATTATTTCAACATTTCTATTGGTTTTAAATTATTTCAAAATAAAAAATTAAAATAGGGAATTGATTGAATAAATAATGGTATATTTTGTGTAGTAAGAAAAATGTAATTGTTAAAAATTAGTCTGAAGATCTCAATTGACATGGAAAGATATCTGATAAAGAAAATGAAAAAAACAAGTTAGAAAATAGTATGTAGAGTATAATTATTTTTTGGAAAAAAAATTGCTAATAAATGCAAAAAAAAATTACTGGAAATATATCAAGCAAAATGTTAACATGGTTGTCTCAGGATTTTTTTTCTTACGATGAGTTATCAGTTTTATAATCAGGAAAGACAAAACCTGTTCCATGGGGTGGGGAAGGAGGAGCAAGGCAGAGAGAGGACGGTAACCAGCCAGGTAACTACCATTGCTATAGCTTCCTGGTTAACACACCACATTCCATGTATTCTTTAGAAAGAGAATGACTATCAGGGCAATAATGACCATCAATGTGAGATCTGCTTGGTCCTTACAGTTCTCATAAATTGATTAATGTTCTCACCTTTAGGCATTATTCCCTTATTAGTTCGGATAGTGTAAGTCAAAGTCTTTAAAGTGTAGAACCCCCTGGATGTTTTAATGAAAGAAAACTCTGGAACCAGCAAAGTTCAGACCCCGAAGGTACAGAGCATGCCAAGATATTGCCAACCTGTGGGGATCCATCCATATAGCCTGCTAGCATCCTCCAGGCCACTTCCCACTATATCATTTTACCAGACTGTACCAATGAGCCCAGAGGTCACCCAAGAGTAGGTTTTGGTAGAGAAAAAGAGAAACTGCAGATTCCCACATATGAAGATATCAAATAGATCATCAATCTTTGAGAAGGGACTGAATGATAACATTATAAAAGGTAAAGTAACCCTTATCTGTCTTCATAAGTCAAAGCGGGGAAGGGCGACGTACTCAAGGCACCTGGTCCTTTCCAATGACATCATTGTGTGGATTAAGACCAATGCTGAGGGTAAGAATCTGTGTCCATTTACCAGGTTTTAAACTAAGCTAATGAGACAAGCTTGAATCCTCTACTAGAAAATCACTCTGCACACAGTCAGGATTAGGTGTTTGTGGTGTTCATGTCATGAATTAGGCAGATTCTTCCTTCTCCTCCTCTCTGTCCTGCCTACTTTCTATCAGAGTCAAAGAAGATGACAATCAATGAAATATAAATGCTATTTTTCCCTAGAGGTCCTCTTACACTGGTGAGTGAGGCAGTTAAAACTAATGACTAAAAGTGGTTTGGAGGTATAATAGATTTCAGTTATTTCACCATCTATACTGCATTATCAAGATTTACTGGTAATAATTTGATTCAATTCCAGTGTCATGAGAGAATGTTAACCACTCTCATCAAACTTACTCAAGTATTTAAGAATCATTTTTGTCACAAAGTATCATCTAGCGATAGAACAAGAAAGAGTATGTAGGGCCAAAATGAGTTCCACTAATTTGGGCATGGGTGAAGGTAAGTCATCAGATAGTGCAACCAAGAATATGGTAAGAGGAGACATTGGAAGGCACATCTCAAAGCATATTTCTGAAAAATGTTTCCTTCTCCTTGTAGCGATACAATTCATATGTAACACAAAGAGACAGGAAGTGGAAAATAAGTGATTTATCTCACTTATGACCTCTTTTTATAAAAACAAAAAAATGTACCACTTAAAAAAATTCCCCCTCCAATGATTTTTCAAACTATGATTCATATAATTAAAATATTTCAATGACTTTATTTAAATTATATATATATAATTCAAGTATTACTGGAGGGGACATATATCTTTTAACCCAAAATATTAATGGATTGCAGAAATATAAAAATGACTCTTAAAATTACTGTTTAAATATGTTAGGACCTTTGTGTGGCACCTATAAAGAAAGTTAATGCTCATGGAATAAGAGAAAAATCAAAGTTCATACCTCTTTGTAGTTAACGTTCCCATCCTGAAGGTGGAGAAACTCTAGAGCTCTGTGTCCTGAGAAAAATAAACACATAAATCAATAAAGTTCAACTATAGCTGAAAACAGAACTTCATAGGGGTCATCTTAAAAGTACATAATTTTATGGTTGTAACTGTCAAGGAAGTGCGAAATGAAAATTAGATTTGTACAATATTTATATAACAATGTAAATACATTAAATATGTTATAATAATACAAATAACATTTTCATAATGATTTAAAGTTCCTGTTTACCTAGCTCTGGGACCTTGGCTAAGTTACTTAACTTCTCTAGTTCTCAGTTCCTTCATATGTAAAATTAAGTAAATAATACCCACCTTAGGAGTTTGTTGAATCACAGAAAATAAATGCTATGACAAGCACAATGGCTGACACATAGCAGTGGCTCAAAACACAGAAATCATCGTCATCATACAACAATATAGTCATCATACCTCAACAACCCCTCATGATAAAGCCAAGTAGGAAACACGATACAGGGCCTAAACCATGGACTAAACCAATGATTCTTAAATGCTTTTTCATCATTGGACTACTTAAAGAGAACAACAAAAAGTCTCACAAAGCTACCTACTACAGAATTCTAAAGAATCCACTAAAAAACTGTTAGAACTGATAAATCAGTAAAGTAGGATACAAAATTAATATTCAGAAACAATTGTATTTTTATACATCAATAATGAACTGTCAGAAAGAAAAATTTAAAAATCAATCTCATTTATAATTGCATCAAAAACAATAAATATCTAAGAATAAATTTACCAAGGAGGTAAAAAACCTGTACTCAGAAAATTATGTCATTGAAAAAACTGAAGATACAAATAAAATAGAAGCAAATATCGTGATAGCAGGAAGAATTAACATTGTTAAAAGGGTCGTACTACCCAAAACAATCTATAGATTCAATGCAACCCCTATCAAAATATCAATGGCATTTTTCACAGAACTAGAACAAATAATTTATTTGAAATTTATTTGGAAACATAAAAGACCCCAAATTGCCACAAAAATCTTGAGAAAGAAAAACATTGGAGGTATCACACTACCTGATATCAAACTATACTACAAGGCTATAGTAATCGAAACAGCATGGTAATGACATAAAAAAATCAATAGATCAATGGAACAGAATAGAGTGTGCAGAAATAAATCTACTCCTATATGCTCATTTAATCTGTGACAAAGGAGACCAGAATATACAGTGATGTAAAGACAGTCTCTTTAATAAATGGTGTTGGGAAAACTGGGCAGATACATGCAAAAAAATAAAAATGAAACTGGACCACCTTCTTACACCATACACAAGAATAAACTCAAAATGGATTAAAGACTTAAATGTTAGACCCAAAACCATATAACTCCTAGAAGAAAACATAGGCAGGAAATTCTCTGACATTACTTTTAGTAATATATATATTCTTTACATATCTCCTTGGCCAAGGGAAGCAAAAGAAAAAAATAAATGGGACTACTTCAAACTAAAAAGTTTTTCCACAGCAAAGGAAACCCCCAACAAAACGAAAAGACAACCTACTGAATGAGAGAAGGTATTTGCCTATGATACATCTGATAAGGGGTTAATATCCAAAATTTATAAAAAACTCACACAACTCAACACTAAAAAAATCCAAACAATCCAATTGAAAAATGAGCAGAGGACCTGAATAGGCATTTCTCCAAAGATGACATACAGATGGCCAATGGACATATGAAAGGATGCTCAAAATCATTTATCATCAAATAAAAGGAAATTAAAATCACAATAAGATATCACCTCACACCTGTCAGAATGTCTATCATCAATCAGTTAGAAAACAACAAGTGTTGGAGAGGATGTGGAGAAAAGAAAATCCTTGTGCACTGTTGGTGAGATTGCAAACTGATATAGCCATTATGAAAAACAGTTCGGACGTTCCTCAAAAAATTGAAAATAGAACTATCTTATGACCCAGCAATTACACTTCTGGGTATTTATCTCCCCCAAAATAAAACAATAATTTGAAAAGATATATGCACTCCTATGTTCACTGCAGCTTTATTTACAATGGCCAAGATATGGAAGCAGCTTAAGTGCCCATCAATAGACAATTGAATAAAGAAGAGGTGGTACATATATACAATGGAATATTACTCGGCCATAAAAAGATAAAATCTTACCATTTGCAACAATATGGATGGACCGAGAGGGTATTACACTAAGTGAAATAAGTCAGACAGAGAGAAAAAAAATACCATGTGATTTCACTTGCATGCGGAATCTAAAGAACAAAATAAACACACAAACAAAACAAAAACAGGCTGATAGATACAGAGAACTGGTGGTTGCTAGATGGGAGAGGGGATGGGAGGCTGGCGAAGGGATTAAGCAGCAAAAATTGGTAGTTACAAAATAGTCACAGGGATGTAAAATACAGCATAGGGAATGTAGTCAATAATATTGTAATAATTATGTATAGAGCCAGGTAGGTACTAGACTAATCAGGGGGATCATTTCCTAAATTATGTAAATGTCTAACCACTATGCTGTGTATCTGAAACTAAAATATTGAATGTTAACTCTAATTAAAAAATAAAAAATGTTAAAAAAAAAAAAAGGCCACTTGCTTCACCCACATACCCACACAAGACGCCCACACCCTGAATCTTCTTAGGATTAATAGGAAAATGAATATTCCTTGTGAAGAGAGTTTCAAAAGTGATATCTTATTTCTATTGTGAATGACATCCAATTTTTAAATTCATACAATAAAAAAAGCTACTACTATAAGCATTAATACCATCAGAGACCTGTTTAGAGCCCACACAAATTCTGTGCATAGGATTCCGTGATTTACAGACCCTAACCATGGGATGAAACCCGTTCTAATTAAGCAACTCATATAAATGTCAGCCTCCACACAGGCCCTATGTAAGAAGTGAAAACGTAAACCAAGATATTTATAAAATCATCTAACTTATTACTAAATAAATGTTGACATTTTAGTCTCTTTTTATATAAAAATTGCAGATTAGGAGTTGCTTTCATTATGTCCACATAAACATGTGTGTTTACTATATTGATATATTAATATATGTTTAATATATTATCTATTAATATAGTTAATCTATTAATATATTAGAACCTTTGGCACCTACTGAAGAAAGGCAAGCAATGATCTGATTTCGTTAAACTGTAATAATTTTTTTTACTTATTTCATGTCTTAATTTTTAAACTGTAAGGACTAAAAATTTGAAAATTCTCATTTTTTTCCTCTTTGGCCCACTTCTTTAGTGTTAGCAATTTCAATTTCATAGAACTTAGACTTGGAAGAATTCATGAATAAGTCCAACTCCATCATTTTACAAAGAATAATTGAGAAAGAAAGTGAATTACTCAGAGTTATCCATGTAGTTTATAGCAAAACTAGTGTTAGACTAGGTCTGACTCTCTTTTCCATTGATTCCTGACTCTCTTTTAGGAATAAATATTTAGTGGAAAGAACACTGGACTAGCTGTCAAGACTTGTAATTCTAGGATCAATTTCCTCATTTGTAAAATAAAGGAACTGGACTCGGTGGCCTCTACTGTCTCTTCAAATTATAAAATTCTGCGATATGATACTTGCCCACCAAAGCTCAATATCTAGGTCTAATTTGCACTGATAAATTCATATTTTATTTGTAATCTTGTTTTGCTTTGTATCTTCTGGATGTAGCATAATTATAAAATATTATTATTGTTTTCATCTAAGCTAAAGAAGACCTATTGTCAGGTACATCTGAAATTAATGTGAAAACTGCTGAGGAATGTAAGCATATCTAATCATATTACAAACTGGCTCACATTTTCCAAAAACATATTACAAATACACTTTATACAAGAACCACATCTTGGTGCTACCCTTTACCCAATTCCAGATCACTTTGCCTTCACGCCTGAGCTCATGGGCATTGGTAAACCGTATCCCAGTTCTTCCTAACTCCTGTCATCATTCTGGGCACCTCTAATGCCAGGGACCACTCAAACTCCCTTTCTTCTTTGACCTCCCTGAAACCAACTTTAAAGTCACCGGAGACCCACTCCCATGGCCACATGTGTCCCTTTACATGTACTTAAAAATATAAAACAACTTAAATTCCTCACTCCCACCATATTTCACCCATTTTTCTCCTCTCCCACTCTATCAGTTCTTCTGCTTTGTGGCGACTGCTGGTTTACCCAGCTCCTCACTATCTCCCCACTCAGAGAAGCCCGCAGGACCCTCTTGCCACGTTTCTTTTCATTGACCCCACCCTGGCAGTCCCCACTCCTGGACAACTCCAGTCCTGGCTTTCTCTCTGCTGCCTAGTGGCTCAGCACAGTAGGGGAACTAGTTAGCCACACAAGAAATAAATTTCTAATCTTTTCCTTAATGTTTCTCACAGATTTAGTGCCCTTAATACCATGACAAGGCACCGGCACGTACCTATTTCTATGTGTGTTGAAATTCCACACGGCGAGCCTCTGGGGCACAGAGAGCCCAGCACAATCAGCAGGCCAGACCAGAACCTGAAAGCAGACATGCTGTCATCACTCACTGCTCTTCCGGTGATGGAAACTGCTCGGAGCCGTCAGCACTGAGATCGAAATCCAGGTCCAGACCCATCACTTTCCCTCTAAGCACGTCACTGACACGAAAACCAAGCCTCATTTCAAAATAATATCATCTGCCAGTGTAGTTAACTATTTACTGTTTAACTTCACTAGAAGAGCAAACACACTGCATCTGGGAGAGAAAAGCAGTGAGAAATGCCTCCAGGAAGCACAGCATCTTCTAACCGAGGTTTCCTCTGCATTTCTAATATGAAATTTGTAGAGACACAGCAAAGTCACCTCCAAATATCCTTTGCTCTCTTAAAAAAATAAAGCCTCAGCTGTCTTCACTGAGAGTCAATAGATTGGCCTGCCTCACCTTACAAGGGCCAGTGGCCCGTGCATCCTTTCCACACAAGTATCAGCTAGCCTTGCTTGCTGGCCTCTGAGCCTCAAGTGTTGGGAAGGCTTTTATGATAATCAGCTGGAACTGGCTTCTCTTTCAGTGTTTGGCAACAGATACTGACACTTGTGTGAGATTACACAAGAGCAGCCACTCCTGGTCTCTCTTCTCCTGCCTGTTCCCATAGGCTTTATCCAGAGGCTGTTGCACAGTCAGATTCCTGCAGCCCAAGCAAAGATGCTGACCCCACTTACAAGGGTTGGGTCAGGGGATAGATTTAGGAAAAAGAAAAAGGGATTCCAAAAATCCTAGGTTCAGAATATATGTCATGAAGTATCCAATCTATAGCACTTAATCCATGGAAAAAATTAGATTGAACACTTCATGGAAATGATCTTAGAGTTCAAATTATGCATATTATTTATTAAAAGCAAGAAAGGAGATCCTAAAAGAGTGGGAGGAAATGATATGCATTCTCAGGTTAGCCAAGTGGAAGAGAAGACTAGGAGATGGAATGATTTGAGACCCTTAGTCATCTACCAAGCTTCTTCTGTAACCTTAACTCAGTCACTTGCAAAACCCCAGAATGGGAATCAGGCAGCCCTGCCTCAGCCCTGGGGTGTTAGGCTCAGCTGCTTTGAGGCCAGAAGCCATAAACTGATACGTTTTGTTTGGCTAAGAGGGTGTTTCATAAACTTAGGTAAATTAGCATTGAAATTTAGATTTCTAGCTCTCTTTAAAAAAGTAAGAACTAGCCTGATGAACTGACATTTCCTTGTAATATGACTAGTGGCTGGAGCTGAGAAGCCAGTTCCTAACAGGCCACAGACTGGTACCGGTCCAGGGCAGGGGCGGAGTTGGAAACCCCTGCGAAACCGGCTCTTTAGACCTCTCTCATGAGGCAGTAGGTGGAAACATGCCAGCTCCTCAGGCCAGGGAGCGATGCCCACCCTGGCCACCTCTGCATCAAGGTTGCCTCTCCCTCCAATTCCTTACATAGAATGCAGAACGAAATAGTGACTTCACACAGAAAAAAGATTAAAGTCTGCTTGTTCCCACTCCTGCCAAAGATGATGGACTCAAGACTGAGTGACACTGACTGAGAGCAGAAAACAAAGTCAAAATGTAAAGTACTGCCTTGGCATTTTGCAAATGAGAACCGTAGATCTTAGAAAAAGAGGAAGAGCCACAGGCTCTGAAGAAGCCAACAGAGGCTCTCAGTTCAGTGGGAGTGAAGGAGAGATATGTAAGACTAGAGATCCTACATCAATGCGCAGAGCTGGGCTTTATGTGAACCCACAAATTCCAGGGCAGGCCTGCTATTTTCATTTTTATCCACATTAAAGTTGTAGCTTCTCGGCTGCTTCCGGAGCTTCAGGCCAAGTGCCACTGCGATTATACCTCGCTTAATTCGATTCTGATAAATGGTCCCGCTGACTAGTTAGCAGCCTATCTTCAATCTTACTAGCGGCTTGACCTGGAGCATCTAGTATGACCTTGAGCATTGTCCTAAATTGCATGTGGCAACCGCACTTTGCATTAGTCATCTCACTACAAACCTTCTGTTCCATTTCCCAGTGGGGAGGACTGGGTTAAGTAGGCAGCTAAGGGCACACGGCTTGTTGATCACAGATTCTAAGTTTGGATCCAGGTCTGTTTGTCTCCAAATGTGGCGCCCCTGCTCTAACTGTTGGGGAGAATACTCAGACACAGCCAGAGAAGCATCCAGATGGCAGGACTCAGAGCCACCCTCCACTGCTCAGAGCCAGCGCCCACATCCTCCGAGCTCAGAGCAGCGGGGACCAAGGACTGTAATCGAGCCCTTAGCAGCCGGGCCCACACTGCAAATCCATGGACCAAGCACACATCCCAGTAGCGGGGATGTCAGTTTTGGGGGTTGGGGGAGAGGGAGCGGTTTTCCTGCAGCGGTCAGGAGGCTCAGGAACAGTTGTACAGAGCACTCGTGGGGGAAGGTGACAATCCACAGGCGCATCCCCACCTTAACCCTAACTCCTTCCCAGGCACCAGAACAGCGCTGCACTCGCACAAGCTGAGCCTTGCGTGGCTGCGCAGTTCGCGGCAGAGGGCGCTGCTCCGCGTCTCGGCGACCTGCAGCCGGGTCCCCGCGCCCCAGCGCGTCCCCGACCCTCGCTCCTCCTGCTGCCCCGACGCGCGCTCGCTTGCCTCCTTCCCGCCGCCGCCGGGGCCATGGCGACCTGCTCTTGGCTGCGGAGCTGCGGCGCCCCGCGCTACCCTCTGGTGCGTCCCCGCCGCCGTCTCCTCCCGCGGCCGGGCTGCTGGGCGTCTGGACGGGCCCCGCTCCGCACCTACGCCCCGGGCCCAGGCGGCCTGCCCGCGGCGCTGCTGCGCAAGGACAGCTTCGTGGGCGGCCGCTGGCTCCCGGCTGCCACCGCCTTCCCGGTGCTGGACCCGGCCAGCGGCGCCGAGCTGGGCTGTGTGGCTGACTGCGGGGCAACAGAGGCCCGCGGCGCCGTGGACACCGCCTACAAGGCTTTCTGCAGCTGGAGGGGCGTCTCCGCCAAGGTGAGTGCGTGCCGGGGCCGGGGGCATTGCTGCAGTGGAACCGGCCCCTCTCCTCTGTTCTCCGGGATACTTCATGAGGAAAGTCACAGAAATAAGAGATGATCAACAAATAAGTCTGGAGCATGGGCTTCGTGCCGGATAGAGGAGGCCATACACGAACGTGTACGGTGTGTCAGTGGCTCTTCAGAGCGTCTGAAGTACTCCTAGGCTGCAGGGAGACCATGCAAGACACAGCTCCTCGGTCTCCGGGAAGGCTGGGCTTGAGTGTCCTGGACTGGCTAGAGTCATGACATCGGGAATGGGGAGAGCTGTAGAGAGAGCTGGGCCAGGGGAAGTCCAGATCCTTGCTCCAGGTTTTCAGTCTGAATAGAGAAATACTGCTGTTAAGTGACAGAGACCCTGGGGAATTGGGGGTGGGGAGATGTTAGGTCAGGAGTGTAGAGTAAGAAGAAAACTATTTAGAAGATTTGCCTCCTCCTTTTATCATATGGCACCTGGAGCCAGCCTAGTGAAGTAGTTTTACACCCTGTCCTTCAGTATCCTCCCTCTGGAGACACATCCAGCAAGGAGGTCCAAGAGGGAGTCTTAACATTCAGTCACACTTCAGATTTCACTGATCGCCTCATGCTGGAGGTGCTTGGGGTCCATCAGTCAACAAAAGAGATTCCTGTCCTTATGGAGCTCGCATGGGGTTGAGGGGCAGAGGGGAGATCTAACCTGCAAATGGAATATGGGATCTAAGCAGATAAGGATGCCAGATGAGAGGAATGCTACAGGGGGTTGGGCCAGAGGGAAGGGGCAAGATACAATACCGTGTGGACAGGTGCATTAGTTTACTGCCATAGAGCACCACAGACTACGAGGCTTAACCAACAGAAATTTGTCTCACAGTTCTGGAAGCGAGAAGTCTAAGATCAAGGTGTTGGCAGGGCTGGTTTCTAAGGAGGTCTCACTCCTTGTCTTGTCGTTGACTGTATTCTGTCTTCGCATGGTTTTCCCTCTGCTTGTCAGTGTCCTAACTTCTTGTAAAGACACCAGTTATATTGGATTAAGACTCACCCTAATGACCTCACTTAACATTACTAATCTCTTTCAAGACTATCTCTAAACAGTCACTTTCTGAGGTCCTGGGGGTAGGACTTTAACATATGGCTTGGGGAGGGGTGGACACAATTCAGCTCATAACATCAGGGGAGGCCTCACTGAGGATACAAGATGCAAAGACTAAGGGAAGTGAGGGAACTCAGCAAAACTCCCGAGTCAGGGAGATGCCTGATGCACTTGCAGACCAGCAAGGAGATGCTTCAGTGGACTGACAAGGGACAGAGGTATGGGACAGGAGGTTGCAGAGATAATAGGAGGGGCTGGATTGTGTGGGGCACAGCCATTCTAAGGACCTGGGTTTCACTTGCAGGGAGGTGGGGCTCCAGTTCAGGGTTTTAAGCAGAGCTGTGACCTGATTTGCATTTTGAGAGGCTGCTCTGGCCTCAGTGCTGAGACTTAAGGAGGGCGTTAGTGGAGCATAGCAGTTAGGGTGTCATTGCAGTGACTCAGGTGGGAGGTAGTGTTGGTTGGAACTCAGGTGGTAGCAGTAGAGGTAGTGAAGCGTGGGCTGATAAAGAATACATTTTGAAGGTAGAGGTAACTGGATCCCCTGATGGATTATTATAGGGTGTGGGAAAGAGAGGTGTCAATAATCATCCAGAGCTTTTGGCTAGAATACCTGGGGACATGGGGGAGGAGGTGAGAGGAACAGCATAGAGATGAGAACTCAGAGCTGTGTTGGAAACATTGAGTCTGAGATGTTAGACACACGAGTGAGGATGTGAAGTAGGCAGTTGGCTACGTGAGTCTGGGCGCTTGAAAGGAGCCCCAAGGGAGAGATGTAAGTGTGTCATGCATGCACATTCACAGCTATAGGATAAGGAGACTCTAGGGAGGGAGTGGGGTGAACTGAAGGATGGGCCTTCTGGCATCACCACTGGGGCCCACAAGTGTCAAGCCTTCATACAGTAGTGTCACAGGTGTCCAGGGAGCTCTTCCGGCCCTGTCTCTGCTTCAGTGATTGTTTGGTGCCACAGGACTGGTGTTGAGACCTGTCACTGACTCTGCACTATCATCTGTTCAGATCTGTGCCCTAGACCATTAATGTCAGTCTGTCTTACAGAAGCTTGAGTCTTCTCAGGGATTCTTCTTGAAAGGATCTTGGAGCATCTTACTAAGAAAGTGGTGGAATCAGCTTTCCCTAGGAAGATGGGTCCACCCCTGGACTAGTGGATGGTGGGGCGCAAACGCAGCTGGGAAGGCAGCTCTCTTGCCTCCAGGCCTTTGCTGCTCACTGTCCACCCCACAACGTTTCCTGCTCCCTTCTCTTGGACCATTCACATCCCACCCATTCTTGGTCTAGCTCATGTGTTGCTTCTCCCAGTCAGCCTGTGAGACCACACAGCCTTCCCGTCTCTCTTCTCTGAACCCCTAGCACGGTCCACACGCCTTGTCGTGTGCTTCCCCTTGACACCTTGGCGTTGCCTCACGTCTTTTTTCTCACATGTTTGATGAGCTCCTTTTTCCTACCTTGTGAACCCTGAAGGACTTCATGGAGAGAAGCGAGTTATTTACTGACCACCTCGCAAGCTAGTGCCTTAGTTTCCTTCGGCTACTGCAACAAATTACCACAAATTTAGTGACTTAACACGACACAAATTGGTTCTCTTACAGTTCTGGGTTATTATAGGGTGTGAGGGCTGAGTTCTTTCTGGAGGCTCTCAGGGTTTTCTTTGCCTTTTCCAGCTTCTAGAGGCTTCCTTGGTCCAACTTCTTAAGTCTCCTACCTCTCTCTCTCCCACCCATCTCTTAGTGATGGCATTGGGCCCACCTGGATGATTAAAGATCATCGCCTCGGCTCAAGATCCTTAACTTAATCCCATGTGCAAAGTCTCTTTTGCCTGGTAAGACAACATTCACAGGTTCCAGGGATTAGGATGAGGCATCTCTGAGGGCCGTTATTGTGCCTGCCACAGCTGAGGCCTGCTTTTGGTGCCTCACCTGTGTTTTGTTTAGTCCTTTCTATGGTCCTGTGAGGTAGACACTTGATGTTATGCATGAAGAGACTGGCTGAGAGGAGCTTGTAGCTCACCAGCCATCATTTTACTCCTGCTTGAGTGGGGGATCTGGAACTGGAGTTCCACGTGTCTCTATCCACTTGAGCCTCCCAGGACCCCTGT